GTAACACAAAGGAAAATTTAGTGACCTGACTCGGTTTCATTTCATTTCACACTGCTGGATCTCCAAAGGGCATGGAATAGTATCACTGGCAGGGGCTTGACATGGAAGGAGAGTTTGAAGCTGAACATACAGACATAAGATCAGTAAGGAAGTTGGCAGCCAGGTGACTCAGGCATCAAAACCCAAGTTCATATACCTGGTAAACCCACACAAAGGCCCATGTCACAATATTTACACCAATCTTCCAGAGAAAGGATATTTTTAGGCCTTGGGTGGCACAGTCTGTTAGATCTAGGCCATTATGATGCTATCTTTAATAAATCTGAAAGACCCAAGGTAAAATGCTTTCAGGAGCTCCAAAAGCAATCATAGCTCAGCCTGTCTCAGGGAAGATTTTCTTCTGAGCTTGCATATATTTTGAATGTACTGCCCTCCTGACTATTCTAAATCATGGAAAACTAATTCTGGAATTGTGAGGATTCTTCTTGCGTTGGCCAAAATCATAAATTACTTTTCCTACAGCTAAGATGATTACTAGCAATACATCTACTGCTCATAAAAAGCAACTTAGAATTCAAGCCTGTTGATAAGGAAAGGGATTCTAGGATCAGTCTAGTCCAGAGCCTCATTTAATATAATGGAGCCCTAAAGTTCAGAGAAGTTACACAACAGTCCAACGTGACTTAAGTAACTGGTCAAATAAATGGCAAGCACTGTCAAAGAGCTTTGTCTATATTACTCATTTAATTCTCCCAACCAACCCTATAAAAATAAGGTTATTATCCCCACTCCACAGATAAGGAAACTGAGGTACAGCAAGTTATATGCCTAAGACTGCCCAGCTGGTAAGGGGCAGAGCTTGACTTACAACCTACATGCTCTTCCCTCCAGAGCCCATGGTCTCAACTACTACATCTTTAGGATTAAGACCCAGGACTCCTAACTGCAGATAGGGCCCTCACTGTCATAATTCTAAGCCTCACAAAAGGGTGAACCAGAGCACCTGGCTGGCTCAGTCAGTAGAGCATGTGACTCTTAATCTCAGGGTCATGAGTTCAAGCCCTACATTGGGTGTGGAGCCTACCTTAAGAAAAAAAAAAAAAAAAAGAGCTAACCACATTTGAAGAGGTCTACAAACCTTATTTAAATCCTGATTAGAACAAACTACCTATCAAAGATGTTTTTTAACCAATCTGGGAAACCTGAAGAGTATATCAATAATTACTGTTAATTTTATCATAATGGCATTATACTTCCATACAAAATATCCCTATTTTTAACAATACGTACTAGGAATATGGGGTGAAAGGACAGGAGGCCTGGAATTCACAAACATACACCTATACATAAAACAAAACAAAAAAATGAACATTTAAAACAAAGTTAGGTAAAATCTTGATAATTATTGAATCTGTGTGATGGACTATGAGGGTTTATTATACTATTCTCTCCACTTTAATATGTTTATTTTCAAGCTCTTCAAATTAATACAAAATCATTTTTAAAGGCCTGCAAACCTGAACCTATAAAAAATGAAGCTATCAAACAAGGAAAAATTTATGAGCACATCTCACTTTTTCATTTTAAAGTTTGTTAAATGGCAGTCTTTAGTACCTACTAAACTATTTAATTTTGTTGTTTCTGATCTCACTACCAGCCACTCACCAGTACTAGAAGCATGGGAAGAGCCAGTTAAATCCATATCCTCTTCATTTTTAATTTTAGTCCATCTGCAAAGTAGCTGTATTAGTCAGCTAGTTAAGAATATTTATTGAGCATTTACTATGCTGTAGGCGTTGTATTAGCAGTGACCCAAGTTGTCAAAGAGTAATCTTCTGTCCCTCTCTCTGCCCCTCCCCCACTGCACTTTCTCAAAAATAAATAAAACATTCAAAAAAAAAAAAAGAGGGGTGCCTGGGGGGCTCAGTTGGTTGAGCATCCAACTTTGGCTCAGGTCATGATCTCACACTTTGTAAGTTCAAGCCCCATGTGGGGTTTGCTGCTGTCGGCACAGAGCCGGGGTTCAGATTCTCTGTCCCTCTGTCTCTACCCCTCCCCAGCTTGCACTTTCTCAAAAATAAAAACATTAAAAAAAATTTTTTTTAAAGGCCAAGCAGAGTAATACTTCCATCCAAGCCTGGATCAAGAGACCTTGGGGTTCCAAATCCTGGCTTGGTTGCTGTTCGGCCTCCTGCAAGGATCAGGGGCCCTCCTTACGTCCTCCTAGAACAAAGCCAAACATAGTGGCAGGAGCACTGTGGCCTCCTGGCAGACACTGGGGAGCAGCAAGAAGAAGCTGGTGGTGGCAGAGTGCCTGCGAGGAGGGGAAGGGAGTGAGGTTAACGGGTAATTTTTTTTTAATGTTTAATTTATATTTGAGATAGAGATAGAGACAAGGTGAGCAGGGGAGGGTCAGAGAGAGAGGGAGACACAGAATCTGAAACAGGCTCCAGGCTCTGAGCTGGCAGTCAGCACAGAGCCCGACGTGGGGCTCAAACCCACGAACCGTGAGATCATGACCTAAGCCAAAGTCAGACGCTTAACCAACTGAGCCACCCAGGTGCCCCAGTTAATGGGTAATTTTTAAGGTCTGTAAACTATCTCCAATTCCTCCTTCTGCAACGCAGAACACCTGCAATGCACTTCCCATTCCGCTAGCAAGCCCCTCAAACGCCCCAGCGAGTACCCTGGCTTTCCTGCAATTTGCATTTGTTTCATCATACAAGTGACTACCAACAGAAGACACTTAGAGTTGAGACATCAGCCAGGCATCTGACGGTCAGTGCCAGAGGGTGCCCAGGGAAAACAGATGTACCATTAAAGTGTCATGAGGTGCCACGGAGGTGTGTCAAACATGGGAAGGGACACTACCAGCTCACTATCAGTAGGCCATCCCCCAGCGGGAAGGGCAGATACTCAAGGAATGTTGCACATCTACGTCTGTTGCAAGGTTGTGCCTATTTTGGCACTTCTGTGCCCAACCTGATGGTCATTAAACTGGAACTTCCTCTTCGGTTCAAGTCTGCCAGGACTTTGGCAATCATGGCACAGCCATGTTTTACTTACTCTTCTTTTGCCTCAAATCCCTGATGAGGGCAGTGGCTCCCGGTTAAAAGAACTAAATTGCATGTGAGGACAGAAAAGATGCCACAGATGTTGCAGGCTTTATCCTTAACACATACACAATGGCACAAAGTCAAGAAGATGCAGGAAGTCCTCATTAGACGAAAGGAAAAGAAGTCACAGTGGGTCACGGAGGAGAAGCTAGGTTCTCGTCTATTCCCAACTCCTGCTCTACTCTTATCACTAACTGATCAAGTGCAGTAGAAAAACAAAATAAAAATCCCTATTTTATTACTGACCGGCTGGATGGGGTTTGAGGAATCTGGGGTGAGCTGGCAGAGCTGTCAACTGAGAGAAAAATCTAAAAAACTAAGCAAACTGGACACGGAAATCAGCAAAGCTTCATCTCCAGTCTCCACAAACATCACTCGTGTCAACCTGTGTCTGGCCAGGAAGGGCATCTATCTGCCACCAGAAAGATGCCCCAGCTCCTGTGTCAAGGGGCCAACACTCATCTGGACAATACCCCACAAAGAGCACCACGAAGCACAGACAACCACCTCCAAGGCCCATCTTCCTGCATCGTTCCAACAAACACGAGTCACCCGCCCACAAACAAGTCCCTTTCCAGAAAATAAATGCCAACGACAATGCAAGGAGCAGCTAAAAGTTTCCAGCTGCCCCAGAGAACATGCCTGCCACCAAAAGCCGTTCCTCTCCCGAGCCATCCGAGGGATCTGGATGTACTGCGTTTCCAAATACTGCTGGCTATGGAGAAGTCGACTTAAAACTTCACCTTCCTACACCCAGGGGCCTATTCTTTAAAGATGTTCTGCTACAACCCAATTAATCGTGGACCTCCTCGCTTCGCTTGTTTCAAAGCTCAAACTTCATAGCCATTTGCACCCGTGCTGAAATTACCAAGGGTTTCTATCACGCCCCCTAACCCTTCAGAAGAGGAGGCCAAACCTCAGGAAGCCGGCTTAAGGGGAGGGGGCGGAACCGCTTCCCTTCTGGAGCTCAGCCCACCCAAAGGGTGCGCAGGGCCACCTCTTACCCTGGGTTTTGGATTGAAAAAGGAAGCCCCCACCTCCAGTCCCCTGAGCGCCTCCAGGCCACAGGTGTCAAGCCCCTCCTGAATACCGGAAGAGCAGGGGACTGCGGGAGAAACGAGGCAAAGGAGAGTAAAGCCCCATTTGGCAGAAGGAGGTAAACTTGGGGGTGAGGGGGAGGGAGTAGTTGAGGGAGATGGCGATCTCACTCGCAGGAAATTTCCCAGGAGGGAAGGGGCCCCAGCAGTGGGGAGAGGACCCCCGCACTCAGGATGGGGATGTGGAAGTTGCTGCCCCTCCGGGACCTTCCCTTCTCCCCTGTCCAGCATCCACCACCTCTTAACCCTGCGGTCCTAGCGGAGTCGGGCTGCTCGGCCTGGGCCCGACCGACTTCGAGGAGCGTGGAGGAGGTGGCCGCCCGCCCGCCCCCCACCATCTGTGGTCCCGCACTCACCAGGAGCACCGAGCCGCGCACCACCTCCGACACGCTCTGTCGCAGCTCGGCCGCCGTGCCCGGCTTACTCAGCGCCCGGGTGAACTTCCGAGTCTCCGCCGAGGCAGGGAGCAGCGGCGGCTGCGACATCGTCGCCGCCTCTGCAGCCGCCGCGTCTGCTCCCGCGGTCCGGCCCGGCCGCGCCGCCGCCAGGTGCGCCTAGGGCGCCCGGCCTGGCCCGCCGGCAGCTCGGGGCGCTGCCGCCCGCCCCGCTCCCCCTGCCGCTCGCCGCTGGTCCTGGCGGGGCAACCCGGGCCGCGCCCTCCGCCCCGCGTCACGCCCCGAGGCGTCCCCCCAGGCGTCCGCGGTCCCCCGCGCTCAGAGCTGCGCCCGAGCTCGCTAAGCGCAACCGTGAGTGTGGCGGCGGCGGCGGCGGCGGCGGCGGCTCCCCCATGCCACCAGCCTCCCTCGGCGGCCGCTTGCCGGGCCGCCTCCTCGGGGCGGGGTGTCCGGCGCGGCGCGGGGCGGGGCGGGCCGGGCGGAGGAGGGGCCGGCGCGGCGGGACGGCGGGCCCGGCAGGTCTGCCCCGCAGGCGCCGCGCGGCGGGAGTGAGGTGGCGGGACGCGTGGGGCGCCTGCGCTCGGATCCCACTGCTGCCCGGGCCGCACGTCCGAAGACCCGAGGTGAGGGCCGCGCACGCCGCCGACTGGGCGCACAGTCCGGGGCCGGAGCGGGACCGAGTCCCCGAAACGGGCGCGGGTAGAATGGGACCGTGCGGAAAGCGGCCGGGTGCGGGCGCCGCGGCACCACGCCCCCTGTGGGGTCTCAGGAAGGTGGGCTTTAGGCGGCACCCACAGAGCACAGAGCCGTTGGGCAGACGCGGTCGTGCGGGGCCGCACGGAGCGCCCTGTCTGGGACCCGGTGTGGAGCGCCGCACGCACTCGCACCCGCGCTTCTCGGCCTAAAACCGCCATTCCGCCCCCAGAGGCGTGGCGCGAACGGCGGGAAGCCTCTGCGAGCCGAAGGGAGCGTTCCCGGGAGACGGGCGGCGCAGGCCGGCACAGCCGCTGCGAGTCACGCAGACCCCGGCCCGCAGCGGCGACCTGCTGCGTCACCTTGGGCGGGATCGAAACTTCTGGGCCTGGCCTCTCTCTTCAGGACAATAACGTGCAGGAGGCTGAAGGGGCACCACAAGCGTTCCCGCCGCCCTCCCGCGGCCGGGTGCGAACGTAAGGCGCGGGCCCGCGGGCCCCAGGAGCTGGCGGCTGCTAGCGACAGCTACCCATCTGAGGAACTTCCTCTCACAGACTTTCCCACTTTCCCATCCCTAAGGGGCCCCACCGCCCTGTCTCCTTTTCCTCTGTTTTCTGAGGAAACCCTGAGCGGCGTAACTCTGACCCCGCCGGAGAGAGGGCGCACGGGTGGAGGGAATTTGCGCGGAGCCCTGGACGCATGCTCCGTGGTATGGGTTCGGGCGGGTTCCCGGGGCGGGGAACCCGTCTTAAGGGCGGCCCCGCTGATTGGCCGGTCTTTTCCGGCCACGCCCACTGCCTGCTGATGGACAGCTGCCTACCTGCCTGGTCGGATTCCGCAGCGAGAGGTGGTAACTTGCTACAGGCCTCGGGAGGAATTGCCGCCGGCGCTCCAGCCACAGTGCCTGGAGGCGTCGTAACCGCGGTCACCGCGACAAAGGAGGCCGCCCATTGCATCCCACCTCACCGGAAAGCCAAACACAGGCCTAAATCGGAATCTTAAAGCGGTAGGAAAAATACCAGTCTCGTGCAGAAAGCAAAACACGGTTCAGGATTTAATGAGCAGGTCTAGCATGTAATAAAACTGGAGGTTAGGCATGCAGTTAGCGCCCAATAGAAGCTTGCTGGATTGGATTGTTTTCCTAGGAGGTTGGAATGCAGGATGTGGCAGTGAGTGAGCCTAACAGGCTGAAAGATCTACAAAACAAGTCATGTGTGATAACAAACAATTACACACTAACCCATTTCCTTCTCTGCGAAATAAGGGAAGAGCCCAGACACTTCCCAGGCCTCTCTTGTTCCTAGAGTAGAACTGGTTGACCTCAATGAAGTAGGGTGGATGCGGGCCCGTATCTCCCAGCCCTTGGGGGGAACTTGTGCTGTTCTGTATGGGCGTGCGCATCCTCCGGGCTACACTGGGGTATGTCAGCTCCATTCTTACCTAACCTGGTAGATGCTAGAATCCTAAATTAAGATTTTCCCTTTGGGCTTCTGACTCCTGAAGTAGTCTCAGACACACATTTACCCGACTGTGTTATCTTGGCTCTTTAAGCCATTTCTACTTCCATAGAAGGCAAACATCTTTTTTTTTTTTTTTAATTAAAAACAGCAAAAGCATACAAGGTTATAGGGCTTTCTTTTATTTTTTTCTTTCTTTCCCTTTTTGTTTTAAGAAACATGTAAATAAAGAAAAGAATAGAGGAGCCTGAGTGTCTCAGTTAAGCATCCGACTTCAGCTCAGGTCATGATCTCCCATTTCATGGGTTCCAGCCCCATGTCGGCCTCTGTGCTGACTGCTGGAGCCTGTTTCCAATTCTGTGTCTCCCTCTCTTTCTCTCCGCCTCATCCCCACTCATGCTTTGTCTCTCTCTGTCTCTCAAAAATACATAAATATTTTTTAAAAATTTTTGAAAAAGGAAAACATATCTAGAAAGTGAGGAGTTCCCCACACCTCCTAATTTCATCCATGTGTATATCAGTTCTGAATTCTGTGCTTGCTTACTAACCCATCTTTGTTTTCAAAACTGTAAGAAGAAAGCTTTCCTTTCTATTGAGGATGATACTAGTAGGTAATGGAGATGAAATATAATTGCAGCCTGTTTTGGAAATTTGCATATAAATAACTGGGCCACACCCAAGTACTGATAGTTCTCGCATTATCCATGTTTTAATGATAACTTCTTACTGCATCATTTCCTTGTTAGGTTTGCTTTTAGGATTTGTGTGTGTCTTTATGATGCATAATTAGTTTAAAATCTTTTCCAGGTAAATCTTGAAAGAGCATATCTATTTTTAGTATAAATAAAAAAGTAGCCTGTAAAGAGTAGCCAGTCTTGTGGATTGTAGCATCCAGGGAAGTGGGAAGGGGGCTTTCTTTTTCTTTTTTCTTTTATACTTGCATTGATTGAATTTTTAAAATTAAGCATCTATGACTGTTGTACTTTTTCTTTTCTTACAAAAGCTGGACACTTTCTTTTACCAAAAATATGTTGAGCTCTGTTATATACGAGGCACTACTAGAGATCAATATAATAATAAAATTATGGGGGTAACTGGGTGGCTCAGTTGGTTAAACATCTGACTTAAGCTCAGGTCATGATCTTGCCATTTGTGGGTTTGAGCCCCCCATCAGACTCTGCTGACAGCTCAGATCCTACAGCCTGCTTCATATTCTGTCTCCCTTGCTCTCTGCTCCTCCACCCTTCACACTCGCTCTCTCTCTCTCTCTCAAAAATAAATAAACATTAAAAAAAATTTAGGGGCTCCTGGGTGGCTCAGTTGGTTAAGTGTCTGACTTCAGGTCAGGTCATGATCTCACAGTACATGGGTTCGAGCCCCTCATTAGGCTCTGTGCTGACAGCTCAGAGCCTGGAGTCTGCTTCAGATTCTGTGTCTCCCTTTCTCTCTGCCCCTCCCTTGCTCATGTTCTGTCTGTCTCTCTCTCTCTCTCTCTTTCTCAAAAATAATAAACATTAAAAAAAGTTTAAAAAATTTAAATAATAAAATTATGAAGTTTCTTACAATCTGATGGTGAAAAGACTGAGGTTTTTTATTGTGTCAAAATGTTCATAATATACACTTAAAAGAGTATCATTCAATATCCTTTCAAATATGAAGTCATTATTACCATATCCAGTTGTCTTCTATATTTATTATACTCATTAATATTTATAATTCAACTGCTTTATTTTTTTTTATGTCTTTATTTTGAGAGACAGAGACAGAGAGCGAGTGGGGGAGGGACAAAGAGAAAGAGGGAGACACAGAATCCAAAGCAGGCTCTGGTCTTGAGCTGTCAGCACAGAACCCAATGGGGGGCTCGAACCAATGAACTGTGAGATCATGACCTGAGCCAAAGTCTGTCACTTAACTGACTGAGCCACCCAGGTGCCCCAATTCAACTCTTTTAGACTATAGCATAGAGCATTGTTTCTTTGAGTAGTTTGAACTACTCTTTTTATAGTAAATAGTTGCTTTGCTACAAAACAATAATAAAGGAGGACCAATAAATTAGCTAGAAAAAAGAAAAGACACCTGTTTTTAAAATAGAATTTGTTATCAGCCAGATTCATTCTATTCGCCTTTCTTTAAAGGACAGTATTAATAGTTTGCCATTATTTTTCTAGGACAGAGAATCCAAATTGCATTTTAAAATGTTTTCAGGGGGCGCCTGGGTGGATCAGTAAGTTAAGCGTCGGACTTTCGCTCAGGTCATGATCTCACGGTTCGTGGGTTTGAGCCCCTCATCAGGCTCTGTGTTGGCAGCTAGCTCAGAGCCTGGCGCCTGCTACAGATTCTGTGTCTCCCACTCTCTCCCTGACCCTCCCCTGCTCACGCTATCTCTCTTTCTCTCTCTCTCTCTCAATCTCAGAAATAAATAAATAAAACATTAAAAAAATTTTTTTTTAAGTTTGCAGAAATCATTTCAAGAGATGATATTGTCTGACTCCCATTTAAATCCTTAAATACTTTATTAACACTTTTTGGGGAATAGTGTATCAAAATATGGATTTTCCAAAGTTTGGAAAACTATTAACCATTTACTACCCAGAGATTGTGAGGAAAGTCCCAGGTCGTACACTCCACCTTCATAAGAAACAACCAGAAATTAATCCAGTCTAGGATCAACTGTCTTCTAGCCCACCAACTTCTCTCTTTTTCTCTTTGAATCAGCCACAGAATTTAACTTCTTTTAACTGCTCATCACCAGCAGTTTTGCTTTTATTGGTAAACATTGTTAGATAATCTACAAAGATTAAGTGGCACCAAAAGAGCATATTGTCTGTTCATTTCATTTTTTGGTCTATAACATGTAATCCAGGATACCATTAATATCCTTTGTGGGGTTTGTATTTCAAATCCTAAGCTTGTCATGTCATTATTTAATAAAAGAGAGTTGCTGGGGCGCCTGGGTGGCACAGTCGGATAAGCGTCTGACTTCAGCTCAGATCATGATCTCATGGTTTGTGAGTTTGAGCCTCACGTAGGGCTCTGTGCTGACAGCTCAGAGCCTGGAACCTGCTTCAGAGTCTATGTCTCCCTCTCTCTGCCCCTCCCCCCACTCACATTCTCTCTCTCTTTCTCTCTCAAAAATAAATAGACATTAAAAAAAGAATTTAAAATAAAATTGGTGACTGATGAGTGAAAATTGTCTTTAGTATCATCAGATATCAACAACTTATTACTATTGTAGATACGATCACATAATGATCATTTAAAATAATAGTGAATGCATAACCATTAGTTTGGGTTAAAAGTACTGTTGCTGAAGCCATCCCCACAATATTCCTGCAAGATAAATTAGTTAAAGTTCATGTCACAGATGAAGTATATCTACACAAATAGGGATGGATCCCTAAGTAACTGCTAATCTCTTGAAACAGGGTAAAACAGGACTTGGGTATCAAAGACCGTATCTGAAGAAGTAACTAGAGTTTTGTCCTCAGTTATTTCCATTGTAGGTAAGACTTTTCAATGAGCTAATAGAGCAGAAATTAGGCAGGAATTTTGCATAAGTTTTAAGAGTCTACCTGAACTAACCAGCTGAAATAGGATCCAAAAGCTAGTTTCCTTTGAAAAAGATTAATTTGGTAAAATTTACACAATTTTTAAAAAACATACTAAGAATGGGACTGGGTGACTCAGTGGGTTGAGCGTCCAACTTCAGCTCAGGTCATGATCTCGCAGTTCATGAGTGCGAGCCCTGCATCCGGCTCTGTGCTGACAGCCAAGAGCCTGGAGCCTGCTTCAGCTTCTGTGTCTCCCTCTCTCTCTGCCCCTCCCCCACTGATGCTCCATCTCTCTGTCTCAAAAAAATATGATGTCACAAAATTCAGAAAACTAACAACCATTTTTCCTATGGTTTTTGTCTGCATACACTTTGATAGTGTCTTCAAAAGACAATAATTTTGTGATATGTTTTATAGCAAGAACAGAAGGAAAATTCAGTCTTTTTTTAAGTATCCTTCATGGAAATCCTTTTATTGTGGATAATTTACAGAAGTCTTTTCAACTTTGCAATTAGTTGTTAGTCACATCTTAGAACTCTTGGATTTCATCAGATTTGGAGGAAGCACTGTTGAGTTTCTTCCATATATATACTATAAGATTTCAGGGTATTTTGAGGAGGTTTTTTTGTGTCAATGCCTTTGAGCTGACATTCTTCAATAGCCAGCCTGTCACTGGTGTCCTCATTACATTGGAGTATTAACAGTTTTATGCTCTCCTTATCAATACCAATATTTCCTGTTTGATCCATAAGAATTTATAGTTCTTTTCTAATGAGCCCATATAATTCACAGCTCTTCATAAATCCTATTTTCCAACAATCCAAATGCCATTCATTTCTCTTGATAGAATGTCTCTTCCTCATAACGATTCAATATGATCTGAAAGTTTGGCGTTATGCTTTCCTTCTCCATGTCAGAATAACTTTTGACTTAATCTCTCATCTTAACTGTTTAGTTTCATATTCCATTAATTTTTAGCTGAATTTTCTCTTGTTTTT